TTTTTTTTTTTTCAATTCTGATCCAATGGTTTTAAACAATATAAATCCAGTCAATACGTCCCGCTGTAAACGAAATATCACGGTGATTAGGAACTCAAGAAGAAAAACCTCAGAGCCGAAAAGAGGGCGAATTTAACAAGTATCAATCAATTTTCAGCGAACGGAATCCTAATCTTTACTTTGGTACGTTAGTTATGTTCGTGCTTCCTTTCATCTAACATAATGTACTTTGTGTTTTTCTTTTATAGGTGTTGTAAACTCTCATCTGTTTACTTGAACTTGATCGGTTTTTCAGTTAATTCGTGGCGGTGAATGAAAGTATGGATGGAGTTCCGGACAATGGAGGTGAACCGGTGGTGATTGGAGGAATGGTGCTTGACATTAATGCCATCCCTTATATTACCGCTAATCCCAGAACCACTACTCCTGGAAAGGTGTAGTGAGTCTCTCTCTCTCTCTCTCTCTGGGTGTCGGTGTGGGTTTGGGTACTTGCTGGATTTGCAAATGCGAAGTAGCTCAAGCTCAACTACTGTTTTATACTCCCTCCTATTCATAATAAGTGTCGTTTTGGGAAGTTGCACACTAATTAAGAATAATTTTTTTGCCAATAACAACCCTCATTAATGAAGATAGAAATGAATGTTTTAAAAAAAAGATGAAGAGAATATGAAAAAACGTAGTGTATAACTAAATGAGGGTAATAATGGAAAAATATATACAAAAGATCCAAAACTACATTTATTTTGGTTAATAGTTGATAAAGCCAAAATGACATATAAAAAGAATATGAGGTAGTACATTTTATAATGTGTACTTAACTAGTTTATTGTGACCTTTTGGATTTTGTTTAAGTTTCGAATTCGTACATACTATTCGATTGTTCAATCTCATGTGCTCTTGAAAACTTTATTTGAGTGGTGATAAAACTATTAAGATAGGCTTTAGTTATTTTGTTAAGATATCTTTGGTTTGGTATGATCTTGATTTGATAATAGTTTTTTTAGTAATTAGATATTTGATTTGATTTGCTTTCATCTTGATTTGCTTTTGATCTCTTGCAACCTCTATTGGATGTAATTTCACTATTACAAGCAATGGAAAATACACATCTTTCTCTTCTCTACTCTATGATTTCTCCTCTTGTTTTAACATGGTATCAAATCACCTGTTCTGATTAATATATTTTTTTTTTCAGTCATGTCTTCTTCTCTCCGGACTGCTCTCTGGTCACGGAAAAAAATATTCTAGTTTTTAGATGGTTCAATTCCTCCTCTATTAGATGGGTTCTTAGAAGATTAAATACAATTGATCAAGTCCTTTGTCCTCTATCCTTTAGTCTTTCATTCCTTCAGTTCTTCGGTCCTTTGGATATAAAATACAATTGAACCATTCCTTTATCCTCTGTCCTTTAATCCTTCATTCCTTCGGTCCTTCGGTCCTTTGGATATAAAATACAATTGATCAAGTCATTTGTCCACTGTCCTTCAGTCCTTCAATCCTTCGGTCCTTTGGATATTAAATACAATTGATTAAGTCTTTCGGTCATCTATTTGTTTGATCCTCTGTCCTTCAGTCCTTCAATCCTGATTATGTTTCTACCAAAGCTTAGCTAGCAGATATCTTCATCAAAGCATTGGGTGGCCAGGATATCTCGAAATTTCTAAAGCAAGTTGGGCATTCGAAATCTTCATGCACCAACTTGAGAGGGGGTATTAAGATAGGCTTTAGTTATTTTGTTAAGATATCTTTGGTTTGGTATGATCTTGATTTGATAGTAGTTATTTTGGTAATTAGATATTTGATTTGATCTTAATTTGATTTGCTTTGATCTTGATTTCCTTTTGATCTCTGGCGGATGTAATCTCACTATTACAAGCAATTAAAAATACACATCTTTCTCTTCTCTACTCTATGAATTCTCTCCTAGTTTTAGCAAAAACTATAGTGTTTTGATACGAACAAAGAATCAGATAATACATAATAGTTTGTTGCTCGAAATTTTGAGATTTCTAGGTGTGTATCAAATGTCAAGGGTATCCAAATAAATTAATTTTTTTTGGAACTTCATGATTCATGTAAATTCTTCTGAAAATGGTCATGGTTGAGATAAGCATCCCATAACTGGTCTAAATAATTTTTTGTTTCCTCTACCCCAAAAGTTNTTTTTAATCCAAATGCAGCATTGCTGAATTGGCATAATTAGTTTCGACATGAAGTTCTTTTGGCCACTTGTTTCATTTTATGTTATAAATTGTGCGAGATTAAATTATTGTATTTATTCTTCGATTGGCTATTCAGGTTATCTATACATTAGGTGGAGTAGCTAGAAATGTTGCTGAGTGCATGTCAAAGCTTGGAGCAAAGCCTTACATGATAAGCGCTCTGGGATTTGACTTGGCAGGTTTCTACGCGGTCAATCGTTAGCACATTTAATCATGAGCGACTTCTTTATTCATTATTTATATAGGATCATGCTACAATAACATAATGGTTGACATAAAGTTTGACATAATACACACGTGGCAAGATTCTATAGTTTCATACATCAACTTTAAAATCAATGATTCCTGCACTTACACATCATTTATGTCATCCATTATATAAAAAATTATGTTAAAGTAGCCTTATTCTTTTAAATATTTAGATTCATGCGATCCATGAAAATGGTCTATGAGGAAAATCAGATCTTAAAGCTAGATCCCCACTATTTTCAAGGCAAAAAAAGATTTGTGTTATTTGAAGATCCTAATCTCCTCCCCTTCTTGGAACATACTGATACCAATTCATTTACATTAAAAAAAGAAAAAAANAAAAAAAAAAAAAAGAGAGAGCTTAAGGTGTAACATGGTCATCCCCCAATGTGCTAGCATTCATCAAATAATCATTGTGTTTTTTCATCATTTATTGTTTCTTGTTGATAAGAAAAATGAAGATTTGAGTGTTCTCATTCACTTGTACCTCCTTTGTGTACCATCTTCTTCCACTATACCTTTTAAGAAAAATGTGTGATTTCTTCAGTAATTGTTTTTATTATTTATTATTTATTATGTTTTAATAGGAAACTTACTGTTGGAACACTGGAAATCTTTTGGATTATCTGTTGAAGGTAATGTACCACTTTTTTGTCATGGATATCAATTAAATCTTTATCCTCAAGCATACCAGTCATTGATATTACTAAGGTTGTCCTGCCATTTGCAAAGTTGTTCTTTTGATGATTGATGCTAGTTGGATCAATAGAAGAATGCACAAATATTTAGGGTGATGAAAATTTGAGGAAGGTTTCTCATTTGAATTTTGAAGGATAGTTTGTAATTTGTAATACTTGAAGGAGGCCTAAATGTAATTTTTGAAGATATTTCATTGTACCTTTTGTTATTAGACTATACTAGTACAACACCCGTGTATTACACGGGTGCTTCTTAGAAAATTATTCTTAAATTTTAAAATTAGTGAGAAAAATTATTTTTAATTTTATTTAATTTTTTACAAAAAAATGTATATTATTATATATTTTAGAATGACACTTGTTACTTGTGCGACTTACATGTGTTATATTATAACAATTTTTATAACTTATATCATATAACTACTTTAAATATAAATATATTAATTGATAAATAATTTTATTTTTCTAATTAATATTAAAAAAACCAATTTTATTATTGTTATAAAGATCAATATAATTATTTTTTTATACATACAATATGGATGTTGAATCGAAGCTCATCAAGAGATGATTAATTTGATATATTATATATTTATAACTGATAAAAAATACAAAAGTTATTAACTTTTAAAATATATTTACAATACAATGGTTATAATAAGAAATGATATGAAAATGCAATTAATACATGTAACATGACCATAAATAATCAACATATTTATGGATAATATCAACCTAATTATTTGTGGATTGGAAGTAAATTAAAATATACCCAAGCCTAAATAAAAGAAGCACGTACTTTTGCTACATAGTATCCCGAAGCATGTGAGCCTGCCACTTAGGCTCAGGACGTCATGAATTAATATATAGGGGGATATCAATAGTACTTTTGTAATAATTTAACCAACAAGAAATAAGTATAATTTGTTATTTTCCTTGCAAGATTTGTGAAGGTCAATAATCCTTGAACCATCACTTGTTAGTAATATCTCCTGGCATTTATAGTTGGAGCTCATATGTTTCACCTTTTATGAGATTTACCTAATCGTCCCTGATTAGGCATTAAAAGAAGTCAAGATATTGGAACGGCTGTTGTGTGTAATGTCTTTGATGGTAAAGGGGAGTTGGCTGCTGCTGTTGCTAGTGTAGAATCAATTGTAAGTTTATTACTTCAGAAACTAATGAAGAACTGATCATGTTTGAGTTCAAGGATATCATTTCATCACTGTTCGGTGGCCTGACAACAGGAGATGTTTCTTACTCCCAAATGGATTCAGAAATTCAAACGCAATGTCCGTTCTGCCCCTGTGCTGATGGTTGATGCAAATTTAAGTCCTCCAGCTCTTTTAGCATCTTGTCGAAGTATGTTATTAAGCGCCTTGTCATTCTTCCACCTCCCCTTCTCTCTTAAATTTGTAGGATTAAGCATTGGCAAAAATATACAATTTTTTTGCAATATCTCATTATGAAATCCGTATAAATGCGTCTTTCTTTTAGATATGCTGTCATTTATATATTTTGTAGATATAACCAACATGTTAATCAAGTTATTGTGGTATGAATTTCTCTGTTTTGTTGTTGAAGTTCTTATTGAGTGATAAATATTTTCAGTGGCAGCAGAATGCAAGACTTCAATTTGGTTTGAGCCTGTATCTGTTGCAAAATCTAAAAGAATTGCTTCGTTTGTAGAACATGTAAGTGTCAAAATCTCCTGTTATGTCTCTGAAACTAGATCACTGGTTTCTTCTTTTCTTTTTTTCTTTTTTTCTTTTTTTTTTTTCAGAAAAGCTTC